AAATGAATTTAAGGTTATAAACGTTCATTAGCCGGTGGACTATTATCTAGCGACTTGGCCAGGCGACGGTAGGGATGTAAATGAGCCGGTAATCGAGCTCGAGCTTACGGTACCGTAGCTCGGCTCGTTAATTAATATGGGCTAGTAATCGAGCTCGATTCGAATATCAATATTAGTGAGTCAATCTCGAATTTTAATTAGTTGAACTGTCGAAAATTATATTAAAAAATTCATTTTTCGATTCTTAAGTTCATCCGATCTGATCGCGAGCCATAACGAGCCGAGTCCACGGACGGTTCATTTTGTTTAACATTTATAGAGGCCGTTTAGGCAGATATCTAGTGTTATTTTTATTTTTTAGAATTATTTAAAAAATTATTTTGTTGCATACAAATATAATGCATACCAAGCATGATTAAATTTGTAGTCGCCTGGCGCTCCTTCCGTAAAAATTAAAACGGATGGTTAATTGAAACTGGCTAGTAATCGAGTTCGAGCGTGATTCATTTATCAATATTAATGAGTCGATTTCGAGTATTAATGAGACTCGGAATATAAGAAATTATATTAATAAATTTAATTTTAAGTTTTTATAAGTCGAGTCAAGGTTAGATCATTAGCTCGTTTAATCTAAACTCGAATCAAGCTTATGAGTGACTCGTTTAGTTTAACAGCTATAGGCATTGTTTAGGGAGACGATTAACATTATTTTTATTTATTAGAATAATGTAAAAAAAAAAAATCATAACTGTTGCATTTGCTGCGGATGGATTAATGTGAGCCGTTGATGGGGGTATGTAGTGCTTAATTTATTGTATAAATTTTATTAATTAAATGATTAATTAATAGTGCTCATAAGAATTAGGATTTGATACAATGTGATGTCTAATCCAACTTGATGTGCAGTTTGATAAATCTCGACCTAATTAACTGAACTAACTAACAGCTTTAAATCAGTAGCATATATGCGTTGTGTCCTGTGTTTTCATCTGTAAAGCAAGGAGCCGGACTCATATAGTATTTATGTCGGGGACTTTTCGTTAAATTGAAGTAACTAAACTAACAAGAATCATGGTTTATTTTTTATTTTTTTTTTATTAATCTAATTAACATATTGTGTATTTGTTAAGTGTTATATTTCATATTTGAATCCATGGTTGTTTGTCTTGTTTCACTTATATGTGAGCTCGAGTTAAATTCAATTCGACTCAATTTATTTTAAAAAACGTAAGCGAGCTCAATTCATTTAATTAGTTCAATTGTATTTTACTTATTGAACTCCAATTAGTACGAACAGCTAAACTATGTCTCATGAATAGTTCACTTCGGATAACAACTTTAGTTATGAAACTATATTTATAATTAAATCATGTAGTAAAGAAAATTTTGTTTCTATTATGATAACAATAAAAATTAGGGTTACAAGTAGAATTCTCACAAATCTTTGGTCTCTATTTATGTTTATGTATATGTGAAGAGAGTATTATGGTAGTGAGTGGGACTCATTTTTACAGTCACCTTTGCTCCATTAAATATGTAGTGGGAATTAATTATTTATTACAATTCCAATGCAACTTGTCATGTTACAATTGGTCATAGTTCCTCTATATAACTTTACTCAAGAATTGTAGAAATGTAATGTTTTATGAATATGTATAAATGAAAATTACGGTTTTAAAATATAAATATGTTCTTTTATTTAAAACTCATGACCATTATGCTGTTGCATAACAACATTTATAATAATATCACTATCCTACTGCCCCATAACAAAATTTACAATAAATATTGATATTGTACATGCGAAATATATAAATATATACATGCTCTTACATATAATCCTATCACAATTTAATTGAAACAATTTATATGTGATTAGTATTTACCATTGTTCTGAAAACTGGACCGGTCATCGAATCGGTGAAGCTACTGGTTCAATGGTTCAGTGGTCGAACCGGTTTAATTAATATATAATTTTTTATTTATTTTATATGTATAATATATAATTATATATATTTTTTATTGATAATTCTATTAATTTTATAGTGTATGACATTTCTCTAAATAATAACTCAATATTAGATACAATCGACAATGATGATTAATGTTTATATTTTCTATTTTATTTTATTTTATTTTTTATATTTAAAATTTTAATCTATATTTAAGTTACAAAATAGAAAGAATAGAAACAATCCTATTTTCATTTTAAATCACATTTCAATTTTTTTATTATTGCTTAAAAAAAATAATGTACATAACAAACAACAATAATTTGTTTATTTCTTTTTTTATAATTTGGGAATAGATATAGCCCAATTGATAGTTCAATTTAAAAAATAGTTCATTTTTTTTAATGAGTACAATATTGTTTGTAAGGTCCAATATTGGCCCAATAATTTTATCAAAGGAACATATCCCACATTGGAAACACAAGTAAAAAAGATGTGCTATTTAAATCACTTCACAATCAACCAATTCAAAATTCAAAATCTTGAACCGTTGAACCATTTGGACCTGTCCCGGTTCACCGGTTCAACCGGTTTTGGACCGATTCAAACGCTGGGCGGTTTGATGGTCCAAACCGGACCGGAATGAAGACCGGTTCCCGGTCCAACTGGTTGAACCGGTCGGTCCGGTCCGGTTTTCAGAACAATGGTATTTACTTGGTTTACTATATATATGAGTATAACAAGTAACGTGTCAGATTGATTTACGGTTATCTCCAACTCTTATATCTAATTTTAGTATAGAATTTACTCCATTTTATAGTAAAGTAAGTTTTTAACCGTATATTACAAATATTAGTTTCTCATTCTCAGTAATTTGAATGATGTGCAATGTCGTAATATAATTAATTACCCAGTATTTTTCAAATACATTTTTTCACAAACTTGGAGGATTGTTGTTACTTCTTTTGAAATATTTCCAGAGAATGGGATTCTAATTTTTATATCATTTTATAGTAATTTAATATAAACATTTTCATTAAAAAAAAATTGTTTTTATACAGTTGTAAAGTCCAACTATATTTTTTTTTCAATATAGACTTTGTCAAATAATACATTGCAAGATAAATAAAATACAAATAATAAAATAAAATAAATTAAAAATATAGAGTAGGAAATGTATAGTATTATAATTTTATGGGAGCGCAGCCTCTAACAGTCTAACTCAACTTGCTAAGGAAAAAAATTATGGAATAGTAGATAATTGAAATTGGTTCCACGTGTGCACCATATATCACTATACATATTGCTATCACCCCTTTTGTACTGTAACCTAATACTGCAATTGATATGAAGAA